GACTCACTGGGACTTAAAGAACTACATTAAAATGAAAATAGGTGTGTGTAGTATGATGAAAAACTTCTCCAGCATTTATAGCCTCCTTACTAAACTACTGAAAGGGATTATTAGAAAATCTACAATCCTTGCCTCTCAAATAAGTAAAGAATAGGAAGGATAAAGTGAACGTATTTAAAGACAAAACCCAGCACATCAGTTTTAAAGAATCAACCGCATTTTTAAACAGCTTTCTGATGTTCAAACAAGGCCTTGACATTATTATTGTTAATGGTAATAATGATAACAATCAGATGAGTTTCACCTTTCCAGTCCCCCTCAAAATGATAATCAGGAAACTGCTCTTCTCAGTTTTTCCATACTTCCCAGAGGTCTTATCATGTGTTGTGTACTGTTATACCTTAATTGAAAGGGAGGAGGTATTGAATATTTAACCAGCTTCCTTTCTCTTAAATGTTAATTAAAAGCTAAATAGGTGTTTAAAAACAAAGAAACAGTAAGCCCAAAGAATTTTAATCAGTCTAAGAAAAAATCACTTCCCCTCATAATAGCTCCACCATAACTCTCTTGGGTCTTGTCTGCTAAACACAAACTTGGGCCTGCTCAGCAGCACATAAAACAAAAGCACTGAAAGCTGCACAACCCCCCTCTGTGGACATTTAGGGTTTGTTTCTGAGAGTTTCAGCTTTGTTTTAGTCAGAAAAATTGACCTGTACCTCAACAGCCTGCTGGCTAGGGGCAGGAGGGGACAAAATATCCATGGCCACTCTGCACTGCCTCTGCTAAAGCTTTCAGTATCTCTGTTCATGCCAATTAGCTCGGGTTCTTTCCACTTAGTGCAGACATTTTTAATCTGGAATAAAAGTGGGTTATATTTTGGGGTTACACAAATGGCATTCTTATTCTTGAACATGAACATCCACCCACGGAGGAAAGGAGAAGTGGTGTCTGTGGGTAGGCACGCCTCAAATGACTTTTTTCAGTTCTCTGAAAACAGGAGGTCCCTGTTTGTACATCAGCACAACCTCAGCTCTTGGATGCTACCATTTCATTAGCTCTGCACACACTGGAGTAATTAAGATTTGAATAAAAAAATAAATAAAAAATGCTCTGTCTGTGACTGGGCATCAGCCTTGTTATTCCTGGATGGCACTATGTACTGCAGAGCATACGTGGCCTGCAGCTCAATCCTACAAGGTGAGCTTCATGGTGAGAAAGCCTGCAGCATTGATGGTCTACCAGGACCGCCATAACTTACATGTGATTTTTTTTTTTTTTGCTGGAGAAAGTACTGTGTGCAGGCACAAAAACCGCAGTGCTGACGATATTGGTATCTTCTGGGTACAAATATATATTTATTTAAAAAATATAGGCATATGTGAACCAGCAGACTTTGAGAGCTCTAAAGGCTCCATCTGTATTTACAATTAATGACTTGCTTTAGGACACGCACAGTTCTTGTGTTTGTCCTGAAGAAATCCTACCAAAACACACTCTTATTGAAAATATTCATGCAACTTGAATATTCATGCCACATTTGGGGGATGAATAATCAATAGGCTAATCAGACCTTTGGAAAATATGCCTATTTTAGGAAACATAATAAGCATATTTTAATTGCCTTTCTGTACTGGGGCTGATATACATGCCTTGCAAAATCTGGAGATTCAAATGTTAATTTGCTCTGAAAGTGGTTTAACTTTAAAACAAACTAGTACTATTTTTGCAGATATAAAGCCTAGCTTATAACCTCCATTTAAAGTTCAAAACATGGACATCCGATTTTAAAATACCTGAAAAATATCTCTAACAGCTGGAGGAAAAAACAGGTTGGGGATTTCACACTAAACATTCAAAAACTGTGACTGACAAAAAATATTAAATGTTTTAGACAACAAATCAATTGGCTTTTGGTCTGAGCCGCGGGCATACATCTGGGAAGTATTTCATAACTTTATTCTAGAAGCACAGAACACCATAGGGCTAGCACATTTCTAATTTTTGGTTTGTTTTAAATGGAAGGTGAGATTCTCACCAGCATCTAGAAGACGGGACTTACCCCCCCCCCCCCATTGTGAAACTTGCAAAAATAAAGAAATTTAACAATATTCTCCCCTTTTAATAATTCAAAGAGAGCTCCTAAACTCCTTAGTAATAACAGAAGAGAAAAGAGACAGGAATAGTAAATAAGGACCCAATCCTACCGCCTGTCTGCAGTTTTGTCTGCCGTGCGCATCCACGTACTCACATGCAACCTTATCTATTAATTTGCAGTACTGGGTCTCAAATTTAAATTTCACCCCCACTTCAACTTTTAACTTCTTTGCTTTTTGGAAAACCCCTTCCATAATGGATTCCACTGGATCCAGTGCTTTACCACTTATCCCCATAAAGACTATACAACTGTCCAGCTTGCCATACCTAAGACATACCATGCATTCCAATCCTCTACAAACTACTATAAATCTACAGTAATTGCACTAATATTTTCAGAGTTATTCTGGATATGTATTTATGAATAAATGAAAGAAGAATCTGGCTCACTGTTCCTTGTCTGAAGTTTCCCTGGAATGTTTGCCAAGCCATTTTTTTAGAAATCAAAAGAAACAAAACCAGGGAAATCATAACAACATTTGAGAAGCTGGCTTCTAGCTGTTATCATCACTTACTTTTAGAACTCACATTTCTTATTAAAACAGATGCAAATTTAGATTGGTTTGGAAACAGCTTACTGAACTCAACTTCTCTTTAAAAAATATGCAGTATTTGCAACACAGCTTTACAATGCCATTGTGTGCCTGACATGCACAGCTTCTCTACCCTTCAACTGCAGGTGCCGAAGGAGGGATGGGATGGCAAACTGCAGCTTTCCAAAAAAACAAAAAAACAAAAAAAAACAAAAAACAAAAAAACACCCAAAATTGGACTAGTTACATAAGTTGGTCATTGATATCTTTCAAAACTGCCATGGGAATATGAATAATTTTGAGCTCTTTTGGAACACTGCCTGACCAAAAAGAAGAGGGGGATTTTTGGATTTTCACCGACAGTTTACTGGCTGTGCAGTACGAACAGCTGCAGGATCATCAAGCCCTTATCTGTTTCAGCCTTGCAAATAGTTCTGCCTCGTATACCTTTCCAAGTTCACTGGCACATTGAGAATACTAAGCGAACATATGCAAATATTGTCTCTGGCACAGAAAATATGGCATTTGTTTTAGGACTCTTTTTGCTAAGTCTACTTAAGAAATACAAGTTGATCTCAAATCAAGAGGAATTTTTCCAGAATCATTTAATCTTTCTTAATCATATTAGGAACACACAGCTTTAAATAACTCATAAATGTATTGACTGTATTAAACAAATTGGAGAGCCAGGATATTCTGCAGAATGTTTTGACAGTCAAGCACAAAAGCACTGTGAATATAACCCACTAATTCTGGGCAAGATTAAGGCGGCCTAATCCTATATGAATATACCGATACAAATCTTTCTGAAGATAATGGGACTGCTCTTGCCTAGAGAGCACACAGAAAGCATTTTCAGAAATGAGCCCCTAAACATTTTGCACTTCTTTACAGTCAATTTATCTCAGATCCAGTCCAGAGACCTTCAGACACCTAGGTGCTGCTCTCGGTTTACTCCGTATCTTTAAGACTCTCCCCAGATTCAAAACACACAGGGTAGGTAACATCTTTGAAAACTAAAATTTACATTTAAAATTACCACGTAGATAAACATATAGCTGCCTCAGACACAGATTAACAATGAATACAAACATTTGGGTATAATATATAGAGAGGCGCTATAAAGTCTAAGTAAAAAAAGCAAAATATTGCCATAATTTACTTTTTAAAATGAGCATGGATAGAATCACTTTTGAAAAGACAAGAAAGCATTTTTTATTTTTTATTTTTTCAAAATATATTGGCCACAGCACAGGACACTTCCTATGCACAATGTACTGTATTCCTAAAAATTCTCAGGTTCTTAAGGTTTAGTTCTGCTAGTATCACTGTTGTGCTATCAGCAGTAACTGTTTCAAAATACAGAAGGTAATTAGGTACTATCCACTGGTCCACAACCTTGATCCAACTCAATCACAAAATTGACAAAATCTGAAATACTAATAGGTTTCTTCCTGATATGCTATACCTAAAGTAGGTTTTATCAAGTATTCCTAAAAAAATGCCCTTTAAAATGGGACAGATTTACAAATGTTTGTGATCTTTCAATTGTTCTCTGCTATTATATAAGATTTCTATAAGATCTCATTTCTTCATTTTCATTCCTTGTACAACTCTCTCTCTCCCCACTTGCTGTCTCATTTGACAGGCAAATTTGCAGACATTGCCTGAGGATAACAACCTCGTTTGACAGTCAATTAACCATGAATAGTCAAAGCCAAGGCAGTTTGCATTACATAAATGGAAAATTAGATTCCTTTTTCCCAAGAAACAAAACCCTCTCCTTAAGACACTGCAATAGACAACTTAGTATCAAAACTTCTAATCATGTCTTTCCCAAACCCCTTGGAGACATTTAGCAATCAGTAAAAGGTGGTTTCATTTAATTTGTATAATGTAATTTTTGTAAACGTATTATACATTTTGTGTAGAGATCATTATCATGGAGATAATATAAATGTTGGCATAGATGTCATAAAACACCTTTAATGTCTTTCTGACAGATATTAAAAGCAATAAGCTGTGATCCTTTATAATGGAAGGTTTCAAAGAGAACATTTCAATTATTGTCAGGTTATGCTTTTCCAGCCTGTTTCATTGTGTAACCTGATACATTTCTGAAATTTCTGCTGAAATATGTCCAGCAATTAATAATCTTATTCCTATTAATGTCTCTGCTTTTCACCTATTTGTATTTTTCTCAGTTATATCTGCTTGCAATTTATTATTAAAAATATTTTTACCCTTGTACTAAATATTCAGACATTTGATTATGAATTTGTCTCTTTATCCTCTACCATCTTCTGAGCCTACCTGCTATATCTCTCTAGAAGTCTCCTCCTGAAGGCTCTGAATCTGTGATGAAAAAATTATGCTCCTTGTTCTTATCTGAAATCCAAACAAAAGGCAGTGCTTAAAATACTTTTGCCAGCAAGAAACGGCAAACCAGAATGAGTATCAGAATCCAGAAAAAAGTAAATACATATCGGTATATTCAGCATGCACAGAGATGCATTTTGGATGTGAATGAATAGTGTTAAATTACCACCGCAGAGAGACTATTAGAATGTTTAATGGATTTTTTTTTTAATTGAAATCATGGAAGTGATTTATTTTTGTTTAAATTGAGGGACAGAGAACAAACCCACACAACACATGCAACTGAGAATTCCCACACCTTACGGCAAACGGGCAGACCTATGCCTGTACTCACCTGAGAAGTTATCCTCTTTTGTGGGCAAGATGACTTGATTGCTCTCCTTGCTTTTCTGATTCTAGAAAAACAGAAAAGAGCAAAACACACAAAATCAATACTGAAAACAATTAGGAGCAGATATGTAGTCTTGGGCAGATTACCAAGAGCGAGCACAAGAAGAGCACCCATGGGAACAACATTTTGGGGGATCCCACCATGTTCTCTTTCACAACTGCCTTTCAGGAAGGAATATGTTTCCCCCTGGAAACTTGTGGGCAACCTCCCAGGTGTGTGCAGGGTGGACAAGGGGCTAAGATTGGGCCTGGATTATTTTCTCCTGAGCGTTAACCTGGGATGAAGGGGCGTGCCATTTCTCAATGACCACGAAAGACCTTGTGGTACCAGACACCAACAGCCATGTACATCACTGCCATGTGCTACACTGAGACAACAACTGAATAAATCTGCTCTTTTTAAGCCTCCCGTGCTGGACTGGGCTTGGCCCTGGTGTGCTGGGCACATTGTGAGGCACTTGCTGCCTCAAAGCAGCTTGGTGCCAGGGAACAGAATGAGGGGCTGCAGTACATCAGTTTTGGGGTGGGGACACAGGGTGGCCCTGCCACTGCACCAGGCCCCATGGTGGCCTGGCACATGGTGGGGGGACTCATCCAGCAGGACTCATCACTTCTGCCACGCAGCCCACTCAGGATGAAGCCTGAAGGAGCAAGCCATTTACATCTTTGTAGGAGAGCTGCTCCTCCGGCAACGGGGTGGTGTGCTGGGCTGCTGCTGCCACTGCCAGCCTTGGGGTGCCTGGGAGGCAGCTGTGGTGGGACCTGGCCTTCGCCCAGCTTTTCTTCGATGGGCAGCCGGGTGAAGGGGATAGCAGCAGTGGGGCGATCCTGGCCACCCTTCTCCAGTGGACCCCAGGTGAGCAAGAAGTGACTGGAGGCCACCAGGTGATCAGCTTCCTCCTCCTCCTCTCTGTCCTCTTCTTCCTTGGGGGGCTTGTGCCCCTCGACGTCCACCTCCTTGGCCTCCTTCTCCTCGCTGCTGTCCTCGCTGGCGAAGCTGCAGCTGGTGCCTCCGGGGGAGAGGAGGTGGTGCAGGGGTGGCGACGGAGGGTTCAGGTGCCGGTCGCAGCCCCCCTCCTCGGGGGGCGGCAGCAGGAACTGCAGCGACGAGGCGGGGCGATGCGGGCCGCCGCCGTGCAGCTTGGCCAGGCTCTCCGAGTCCTCCTTGCCACCCACCGGGCGGAAAGCGCTGGAGTGGTGGTAGCCACTGCCGCCACCACCCGACTTGCGGTCACCCCCAGCGGCTTCCAGCAGGTGCGGGGTGTGCGAGGGGACCAGGCCGCCCCCCCTGCTGCCCCCTTCCGAGGCTGCGGGCGAGGCCGGCTCCACACCGCCGCCTCTGCCAGGGGCCGACTCGAAGAGCGGGTCCCGCACCGCGGCGGTGGCTTGGGGGGGAGCGGCGGAGGCGGGGGTCGCGGCCAGCCCCGGGGCTCCCGGCTCGCCGCCGGGCTCCGAGAGGTCCAGAAAGGCCTGGTGGAGCAGCCCGGCGCCGCCGCCCAGCGAGCAGCCCAAAGCGCCAGGGGACTGGGGCGGCGGCTGCAGGTAGGTGGGCACCGGCAGGCCAGCGGGAGTGCAGGGCGGCCAGAACATGCAGAAGGGTGGGTAGAAGGCCTTCCTGCCGGGCCAGAAGAGCCCCGAGAGCCCCCCGCCTGACGCCCCCTCGCCGGTCTTGTGCCCCCCGCCGCTCCCAACGCCCTCCTCCTTCTTGTGGTACAGCCCGAAGGCAGCGACGGGGAAGCCGTAGGGGTGCGGGAAGAGCCCCCCGCAGGCGGGGAACTTGTGCAGCACACCGCCGAAGGAGCCCTTGCTGGGCACCGGGATGACTGGGTAGTTCCGCAGGCTCTTGCCGCCATGCACCGCCACCACCTCCTGCAGCTCGTCATCCTCCTCGAAGCGGGGCCGCTTCTGGTGCAGGTCCGGCGGTGCCGCCAGCAGGTGGGGACTCAGCAGCCCCCCGCCCACCACAGCGGCCGCCGCCTTCACCGAGCCCAGCAGGTGGCAGGGGGCGGCAGTGGTGGCAGGGGCCAGGGGGACGGGTGGTAGGGCCCGCTTGCGGCTGCCGCCGTTGAACATGGCTTTGACGTCCTCCCAGGCGAAGACCAGCTCGTCCTGGGGGCTCTTGTTGGTGAGCTTGAGGTGACGGCACCACGAGTTGAAGTTGGCGGCATCAGGCTGCGTGTACTTGGCGTCAGGGGTGCGGTGCGAGTGGAAGATGAACTTGTTGGGGGAGAAGTACATGTTGCAGTAGCTGCATTTGATGCACTTGGCGCGGGAGCTGTTGTAGCGGGCCGGGATGAAGCTGCCCCAGCAGCCCCATGCACACTTGTGCGACACATTGAAGGCAAAGTTGTCTGGCAGTTTGGGCGGACAGTTCTCCCCCAGGAAGGACTTGCAGAGCCACTCAGCCTCCCACTTGGTTATCATGCCACAGCGGCGAGAGGAGATGGGCATGGCCCCAGCCTGCCGCAGGATCTCCAGCTGCACCGGCGTGCACTGCACGCAGGTGATACCCAAGGCCACCCGCCGGTTGTGAATCTCATTGTAGCTGAAGTTCTTGAGCAGCGTGTTGGAGATCTGTGCCAGGCACAGCCGCTCCTGCCCGTCGATCACCAGGGACACGATGGGGATGCTGTAGAGGATCACCTGCCCCACCTGGTTGGGCTTCATGGTGGCATGGCTGGCCCGCGGCTGGCTCATGGGGTCCGGTGGGTACGCGCTGGATGGCGACGATAGCAGGATGTCCGTGGGGCTGGGCAGCGGGCTCATCGCCATCTCCTCAGCGCCGGGGGGGCTGCTTTGCTCCAGCTGCGGCCGCCCAGGGAGAAAGGGGGTAGAGAGACAGAGCTGTCAGCCAGGGCCCCCATCGGGCAGGAGCCCACCCACCCCATCAGACGGGTGCCAAACATCCCTGTGCGGCTCCCTGCTTGGCCGCGTTCCCAGACGGCGGCCCCGGCCCTTGAACCCGCCCTGAAAAGGGAGCGAGCGGGGCTCCACAACAAAGGGGGTGCTGAGAGCTGGGCCCGTTCTCACGCAGCGTTTCTCCGACGGCCAGCCCGCTTCTCCCGACCCACGCATCCCCCTCCGCTCCCCCCCAAGCAAATTCCCTCCGGGGAGGGGAGATGGAAAAAGTTCATTTCCCTGCCCTCCCGGCTCCCTTTACCTCCGCGGGTGCTCTCTAGCCGTGCCGCCGCCGGGCCCCCCTCCAACGGCACCTCCCCGTAGCAGCGCGGCCACCAGGACCCAGCCTCTGCGCAGAGCCTCCGCGCCAATCTGCCTCCCCCCGCAAAACCTGGGTGCGGTGACGTCAGCGGGGGAGGGGGGGAGCCGGGCCATGCCGCACACATTCCCCCGGCCGGGGGGTCCGGCCCGCAGCCCTCCCTTTATCCTTTCTTCCCTCCCCGCACCAGGAGAGGTCGGGCGCCCAATCGGGGAGTGCCCCCCCGCCGCTGTCCCCCAGGACCCCACTCAGCGCCCTCCCGGCCTTTCCCGCGCTCCGTCTTCTTTTAAGGGTTGGGGGACTTTTGCCTTCCCCCCCGCCCGCTTCCGAGGAACTAAACGTGCTCAATGAGTAAAAAAGCCGCGTCTTTCCGCAAACTGTTTCTGAATACCGTCAGAAATTACAGAGCTACAAGAAGGACATCGAGGTGCTCGAGCGAGTCCAGAGAAGGGCGACGAAGCTGGTGAGGGGTCTGGAGAACAAGTCCTACGAGGAGCGGCTGACAGAGCTGTGATTGTTCAGCCTGGAGAAAAGGTGGCTCAGGGGCAACCTTATCGCTCTCTACAGGTACCTCAAAGGAGGCTGTAGAGAGGTGGGGGTTGGTCTGTTCTCCCACGTGCCTGGTGACAGGACAAGGGGGAATGGGCTTAAGTTGCACCAGGGGAGTTTTAGGTTGGATGTTAGGAAGAACTTCTTTACCGAAAGGGTTGTTAGGCATTGGAACAGGCTGCCCAGGGAAGTGGTGGAGTCACCATCCCTGGAGGTCTTTAAAAGACGTTTAGATGTAGAGCTTAGGGATATGGTTTAGTGGGGACTGTTAGTGTTAGGTCAGAGGTTGGACTCGATGATCTTGAGGTCTCTTCCAACCTAGAAATGTGAGCTAGGGGAGAGAGGGAAAATTAAAAAAAAAAAAAAAAAAAAGTTGATTTCAGGCAACAACACAGCTGCTGCGACCCGGGTGAGGATGGCGGTGCCGCGCTCCTCTCCCCAAATTGCGATTGGCAAAAAAAAAAAAAAAAAAAGACAGACCTGGTCCGAGGTTCTCGCTGAGGAGCCCACAAAAAGCAACACGGCGCAAATGGGATTTTTCTAATTGCGTTATGCCCCCAACGAGGGGCGGGGGGGAAATCCCCGCAAATCGTCTGCAGTACGGCTGCCACGTCTACCTCCTTCCCCCCCCCCCCCCCCCCAAATAGGTGAAACAGATATTTCACGGTCTTGCCAAACCCCGGCAGGGAGCAGGGGGCTGCCAAAGGTCCCATCCTGGCGGCAGGAGAGAGCGAAGAGGCCAAATCCGCCCACTGCCGTCTTTTGGGGAGAGGAAAACTGCGGAACCGGCTAAAAACCGCTTAAACAACAAACAAACAACTCTTTTCTAGCTAAACCGGGGGGAAATATTATAATACTCCTTTTTTTTTTTCCCCCTTTTCACAAAAATTAATCCATCTCCGTCTTTCTCTTCATCTACACGAGCAATGCCAAACATTTCTGCGCGTTTACCCACGAAAAAGTGATGCATGTTTTCCCTTTTTCTTTCTCTTTTTCGTTCGGCCATCCCAGAGCCGGGCGAAAATCCCAGCGCCAACCAGGACACCCGCGGGCATCTCCGTCTCTCTCCGCTCTTTGTGCCGGGCAGCAGAACAGCAGAGCCCCCCCGATCGCTCGGGTCCGTGCTAACATGGCAAAATCACACCTCTTCTTATTACTTCTTTCACTTCTTATTAAACTCCGCTCGCCCCCGTTCCGCAACTGTCACACAGAGCGTGAGTCCCTTTCTCCCTCCCTCCTGCTTTCCCGAGCCTCTTCTGCACGGAGCCCGCTGCTTTCGTGCGAGCAATAGCTATAAGCATCACATTGTTGACATTTTAATCAATGCTTCCTAGCCAGACTGACATGAATTTTACACTTCAAAACTCTCCTCCGCCAGCTAACTGATTCAAATTGTTTTATTGGTTAAACCTGTGTCACAAATTGTATGATCTATTACCACGCCATGGATAAAAAAAATAAAAATAAAAAAAAATCTCCCTTCCTTGTCTTCTCTTCCTCGGTGCTTAGCCGGCACCGGGATGGACGGGGGGGTTCCCGGGAGAAGCCGCCGGCCCTTGCGGGAGCTCAGTGCGTGCATCCCTGCAGAGGCCGCCGGGCTGCCCGCTCCCCCGGTGGCGGCGGAGCCCTTCCCCGACGGTTTCTGGGAGAAGCGGGGATGTGTGTGTGAACCCCAGCTTCGCTTTGGGCTCTGAGCCCTGCGATGGAGGAGGGTTACAAGCTGTTTTAAGGGGTGAAAGGGACGCGCAGGTCGTGCAACGTGCCTTCAACGAAGGTCCCCCCTCAGATCGAGCCTCGCAATCCGAGAGAGGCTGAAAGCACAGGCTCGGTCCGGGGCAGTCGTCAGCCAGTGCTTGCCTCTCATTTCATGGTCATTAAACAAAAAGCAAAAGTAAACTTGTTCGTTCATCTGCTCAGCTCCATTGGTCTCTTCACACTCCATAGCAGAAATTGAAGGGCTTCCTTAATTTCTGCTGTAGGGAGAGCTGAACCCCATGGGGCCTGTCCTCGTGGACAGGAGAGTGCTGGACAGTGCGTGTGACACAGCACAGCCACATCAAGGGGCCTCAGCTCGGCGGAGCTCTCCGAGGTGGGAGCAGACCGATCCGCTTCAGCGCCAGGGCAAGCAGATATACCTTTCTACTTTTTCTCCATGTAAACATGTTGGGAATTCTCACAGAGCAGTGCGACAAGGGCGCGGGATGAGGGTGATGGAGAAAGGTCAGACTGCCCAGGGGCCGGGCAGATCCTGCAGGTGGCCCCGAGGAGGGCACGTCCCACAGGGCTGCGCCAGCCACCAACGACCCCACAGACACTACGGGGGCCGGCCGGAGTCCAGCCCAGCCCGCACCCCACTGGGGGGGGCGGCCATCCCGACTTGGAAGGTGTGTCCGCACTCTTTCCCCCCCCCCCAGTAGCTGCAAAGCCGGGCTCCCGTCCTGCAACTGCCTCCACCTAGTCCCCTTCATCTTCCTATCTTCCCCCCCCCCCCCCCTTCTGTTGCTGTTTGCAATAGCTGGGTCGGAGCCACCTCCTTAGAGGAGAGAAGGGAAAGTGGACAAACTTCTCCCAGAAGCTTGAGAGGGATAAGTACGAGTCCTGGCTCCTTTTCCCTCTTCCCTTTCCTATCGCGATCCTGCCCTGGAGTGGCTGGAAGAGAGGCGAAAGCAGATCTCCCTGCGAATTGCTTCGTGCAAAAGCGAACAGCAGAGAAAAGCGGCCAAGTTTAAACCACCCCATCTTATCCTTACGGCCTTTAATTACTTCCACGGCGCTTAAATATTGTAGCAGACAAGCCACAAGGAACGAGATAACCTCACTACCTTTAAGAAACTACAAAGAAAACCACCCCCAACGCGGACCCATTCCCTCCTCCCACCCCTCCACATCCCATTGAAACTTACAGCCGTGAAAGTAGTAGGCATACGAGGTATTGTTATAAACCCGTTTTTCCTAACAAAATTTAGGTGGCAAAGGAGGTTTTAAAAATAGCTTTGGGTACATTTCGCTGAGCTACTTAGTCTACAGCAAGGCCATTTTCAATATATATATTTCTTAATCGCATTTTGTTATATTAAGCAGAAAGCAGAGGGGCAGTTGGAATAGAGGTGGTCCCATCTGGAAAATCCCGGAGCTCATTTAGATCACATCACTTCGGGCTTTTGTCTCTGCTCTTTTATAACCCAGCTAGGGACAACAAAAGGGCAGAGATCTATGCGGATTTTTTTTCCAGTGGCAAAAGGACACCTCGAAAAGATGCGGCTACAATCATTACAACAGGAAGGGAAAAAGACTCAAGCAATCTTCTCCCGGCACTTTACAGGCACTTGGAGAGTTTAGGGCTCAGACACTTCGGGGGAGTTTGATACCCCTCCAACAGCTGAAAGCCAGCGAGGCAGCTGAAGGAAAGGAAGTGCGAACAGCATCATCTTTTGTCTGAGGGAGCCCTGTTAACTTCCCAATTTAATACGCTCCGAGTGATGAAAACCGAGTTGACCGTTGCCGAAGGTACGTGCAGACCCCTGCCAGCACATGCCAGGACCCCCGTCGGGGGAAGGGGCCCCACCGGCCCCCAGCACCTACCCACCCGAAACAGCACAAAAATTGCTGTTTGCGATCTTGCTTTCCTCGGAGAAGAAGCGACTCGCAGCCCGCAAGCACTGCGACGCAGCCCATCCTCACCCTCCCTAGCGCCTAAAAGCGCAAAAAAAAAAAAAAACAAAACAATTTTTGTCCTGTCTGGGGACGCGGTGGCATGAGACAATAGCTGCACCTTTAGAGGTGGGTTAATTAATCCCCAGGGTAGGGAAAGATCCCAAACGAAAGACACCTCAACTATTGATTTTACTTTCTGACGCATAGATCAAAGCGCTCTGAATGTCTTCCATTCTTTAAATATTTATACGCACATTCTTTAAATATTTAAATGAACAACAAACTTCCACGACAGTAAACCGAGGCCCCGACCAGGCTTAGGACCGACGACCCCAAACTTCCGAGGGAAACGTGATGTTATGGGACGAAGACTCATCGCGTCAGTAAATAATTCAGTTTTGCCTCTTCCAGAACCCAGTAACCTTGGGTGTCTTAGAAAGCAGCTCGTACAAACAGGCAATTAAGATGAACGCTGAGACTTTCAGAGGAGATATAATGAACCAGCTTTAATTACTATCTTGAAATTAAAAATGTAATATACAGATTTAAATTTATTTTCACCTAAATTGTGTATATGGCTTTTTTTTTCCATGCTAAGAAACTAATTGCCACCAAGCTTGCCACTGAAAAAAGTCTGAAGTACTTTCCAAACCCCGTTTCCCAACACACAGTAATAATGATACATTTATCACTACTGATGAACACCCACTGGTTTATTATTACTTTGTTGCAACTATTGCAATCAAGAGGTTTATTTATTGTTAACATTCACTTAAAGCTGAATGTTAACGACTCTTCTGAATTCGCTGAAGAGTTTAGTTATATCTCAGGAGTAGTTACGCTTCGCATTTCAGAAACGGCATAAAAGGAGAAGAAATGCTGGGTGATTTTTTTTTTTTTTAAAAGCTGCTTCTTAAGACTCTGTTTGAGAGGATTTGTCGGATTTTCAACAAAAAGTTGAAAAAGGCTTGGCACAATGCACATACTTGACTGTAGCTAAATACGTGAGTATTTTATTACAGGAGATTCATTCGTTATTGATAAGTGTCTGCAGTAACTTCCTACTATGTGGAGTTGTATTTTATGAGGAATGCACAACTTCTGGGGATTGGGAGTGTTTGGCTTTTACACTCCTGCTCTCCTTGACAGTTCACATTACCCACTTAGGGGTCTGGCTCATCACCTTCTACCTATCTCCAACCAAATGGAACGTCTTTCCCCTTCTACCACCACATCCCCCTCTCCCCCTTCTTCCTCGCCATGATTCCATCACTATGTTAAGTGACTCGTCGGGGAGGATGTTCTGCTACAAGCGCGCTTTCCCTACAGCCAGCTCTATATGGGTGGTTTTCAAGAGTTCGTATACACTGCAGTGAGCCCCTGCTCCGGGGCAGCTGACGGGCAGGAGCCGTGCAACAAGCATGCAGCCGTCGAGCAAGGGTTTGGGGGGAAGAGGGCTTTCCCCAGGGCTGCTCCCACCTGCATCCCCCCCCCCCCCCCCCCCCCCCCCCGCCTTGGCCGCAGCTCTCCGGCCCTCAAAACCCTCCGGGCGCAGTCAGTAAAAATACTAATAAAAATGCATCGTCTTCTCTCCCCACGACGTTAAACCTCGGAGCTACTGGTAGAGGCTGTTGCCGTTTCCTATCCCACCTCTTGGTGTTTCCCAGCCCCTCCCCCCCACATCAGCCCCCTCCCGGCGGGAGCGGTGGAGGCCGAGCCCCCCGAGGGGTTCCCGCTTTGGGGAGTACCCATGCCTGCACCTCGCGGCCGTTCCCTAAACCCAGCCCGAACTTCACGATCTCGAACAGAAATTTAGAAAAGACATAAGAATTATATACGTAGCTATGTGAAAGAGAAGACGACGCACATCCCCAATTAATCGCCCTTCCCCTCCACTACAGCCCAAATTTGCGGGAGACAAGGCAAGGGATCCTCCTTGGGCCCCCTTGCCCCACCATCAGGTGCCGAGCACCATCCTTCCCCTACCCCATGGCCGCACGACCCATCGCGACAAGCGACGATATCTCCTCGTTCTCAGCCCTAGGAGGTGGGTTCCCCACCTCTGTCCCTCCCAAGTTCCCCCCTCCAGTCCCAGCCCCACGGTCTTACCTGGCCGCCCGAGCTCCATGGAGGCCCCCCCCGGGCCACGCTCCGCGGAACTTTGGCTCCTGCCTCTGTCACGGCAGCTGTGCCACGGGTGGCTCAGGTCTCGGACACCTTCTAGCAGGCAAGCAGCGCCCTGCAAGCGGCATGGGAAAGCCGCCCCCTCCCCCAACGCCCCTCCCTAGCCGGGGGGGGGGGGGGGGCAGCAGTCGCCCCCACTCCGCCACCGTCGCCCCCAGGGCAGGTCCACCCCGACGGCTGCAGAGGATAGAGGGGGTGCCCCACACTTTATGAAGTGGGGCTAGAGGGGGGCAAGAGGCACCCTGGTGTGGGGGCGGGGTGGGCTCTGCTTTCCCAGATCCCCTCCCTTCCCCTAAAAAAAAATAAAAATCCCTGCGCCCCTTCTCTGCCCCTCCCACTGAAAGCCGAACACCTCTGCAACACAGGGTGCTCTGTGGGACGGCAGGAGAGTACACCCCCACCCCCCCCCCCCCAAGCAGGGCCAGAGGGGAAAGGAGAGACACAGCTACCTTCGCAGAGCCCCCAGCAAACACCCCTTCCTCCTCTCTTCCTCTTCTCACCCCCAATCACTCAACATACAGAACACGGCGGCTGCTTAAAAACACAAAGCCGGAGCCCTAATGAGTTCAATTACAATGTGGTAAACACATTTTCTCTATGCTTTAATTAAGACGGCTGTCCAATTTTAACTCATTAGTAATTCATTAAGAGAACAGCCAGTAGCTGGCTGCAAAGAGAGGAGCACCAGAGCTTATGCTGTTAGACTGCGTGCATACCCCAAGGTATCGGGGGACAGGAGAGTGTTGTGTCCCAACCCCTCCCCCCCACAGCAAAGGGGGCTCCCGGCCTCCAGAGCGGAGTCACCAGTTGTCCCGCTGCTGTGTCCTTCACCCATCAAGGATAAAGACTCTGAAGGAGCCAGGCTGGGGAAGAGGAGAGGAGGCCTGGGGGGGTTTGTCCACATGCGTGCCCCCTTGATCTTCTTTGCTGGGAGAAGGGTGACAAGCTTATGGGGTGGGGGTGGGGGTGGGGGTGGGGCACAGCCAGGGCTCCTGCGGCCCCCTTGGGCCGGGATGGCCCCAAACCCAGCACTGGGAAAGCTTTGCACACCGCATTGCGCTCCCAAAAGAGACGCTTCAGTGCCCACAAAGCCTGTGTTGTTATTATTTTAATTTTAATAAACCTTTTTTCCTTTCTCTTTTTCTTCCTTTTTCATCTTTTATTTATTTTATATATATATATGTATATATATTAAACAGAAAAAGTCTTTGAAATGTATCTGGGCCAAGAAACAGGTCAAATTTACCTGGGCACCAAATTCGCTTTGGTGCATGCGTGAAGCCAGGGGTCCGCTGGGCAGGATCCTGCCCCTGCTCCCCACGGAGCTGGAGGGGTGCAAGGGGCTGAGGGGTCTTCAGGTGCTGGGTGGCTCCCCCAAGCCCCCCCTCAAGCCCTCATGCCAAAGCCCTCCCTGCCAGGCTGCTGCTCGCCTTTGTGCTGCGCTTTGGCGCAAAACCGAAACGGGTTGTGTGTGTGTGTGTGTGAATTTCCCTGTGTTTTGCCCTGAAGGTCCCGAGGAGCTCGGGACCCTCAGAGTCCCAGGTGGTCCCCGTGGACCTGTCCCTATCCCTGGGCTGGGGGCGGCGATGCCAGGATTTTGGATTTCCATGGAGGTCTGAAGCACTTTTGCTCCAAAATACAATGCCTGGGGGTGGCTCTGAGGGGGTATGGGCTGGGCAAGACCCCCCTTTCTCCCAAATCCCCAAACTAGTATTTTTATTATTTACGTTAGTAGCGTTGTTACCATTTTATCAAAGCTCCATCACACTGGGGGTTGCAATTATTTCTTTGGACCGACTGAAAGTTTATTTATTTATTTGGCAACTATTTGACGTTCTAAATCTGAAGATGCAAACAGGATTTAGCAGATTGGAGCCGGCTTGGTCCAGTCCCCCAGGCTTACTGTGAGTTCAGAGAAAAGCACCTCTAGGTGCTTCAGAGAATGCCACAGAAAAGTGCCAAAAACCTTTCAGAAATTTCAAGAAGTTATTTTCTGGCCATGGCCTGATTTCTGGCCTGATTTTTCGTCCCCCACAGTTTGGTTGAACCCCCCAGCCTGGCAGGGCTGCAGGTGGGCACACGCTGCCTCTGCTCTCTCCACACCCAAATTCAGGTGCAGTAAGAGGGGGGCTTCAAACTCCAGACCTGAGTTGTAAACAACCAAATCCCTTCTGAAGGAGCCTCTAGGCAGATCTCTCAAGAAGAAACTCTTAATAAGGGTCTCCTTCTTTGAGTAGATTTTGAGCAGTTATCTAAGACATATTTTTTATATTTTTCCCAAATAGCAGGTCCTCTCCTGGAGTTTTAATTTTCTTTTGGCTTCAGGCTTATAAAATTGGATTGTCTGGAATTAGGATATTTGGATATTGTTTCTCTTGATGTCAAAGGATTTTATTTTATTTTTATTCCCCCCCCCCAAGAGAATATGACAAACTCAGGATCAGGTCCTAGGGGAAGGCAAGACTGTGGGCTCCCTACCCAGGGCTCACAAGCAGCATCATTTAACCTGTTGCCCTGTTGTTGTTGTTACCTCCTTTGTATTTCTTGATCATAAAAGTACTGTCCCAAAAGCTGAAAGAATACTTTTTAGCTATTTCCAGAAGCATCCCCCACTCCTTTGTCTTGACTAACAAAGACTTCTGGACACACAAGGGAGAGTTTCTCTCTAGAGTCTCCTGGTATAAATCTAAAAATCATCTTGAAGCCAGTGGGCTACAATTTATTTTATTACCCCAGTGTTAATCAAATACAGGTACATAAAGACTGTTGGGACAATTAATCTGAATTAATTTCTAAAGTGAATTAAATTAAATTGAATGAAGACCACCTGAATTCTGAATAAGAACACCCTTCACAGGGGTTTCACGGAGTTTAATCCACTTTTAAATTCTCACCTTCAGCTAATTTGGGTTATTTTCCTGCACGTAGGTAAAATCTTAAAGGTAAACGTGGCTCATGGGAATTCTTCTGGATTTACCCAGGTGTAATTTAGAACAAAACATATCCTCTAATTTTCTTTGACCATGGTACAGAAATGATGCAAAAATAAAGGGGCTACACATTGTGCTGCTGCGTGAAGCCAAACTTTATAAAGGAAACCTTTTCCCAAAATGTTTTGGATGTTTTACCTTTTCCTCTCAGCCTGTACCTCTGTGTGTATAACTGCAGGTACATGTGTATGTACACCCACAGACATGCAGGCAGGCTGTAGATGTGTATACCCTACAACTGTTTTCTTTCACCTGAGGCTCCCATTGAAGTAAGTGAGGTTGGGAGCTGAAAGAACAGTGGGATCAGCCGGTCACAAGGAAGGTTCACTGTAGGTTCAGAGCTGAAATAGGATGACAAATCCTAAATTCACGGCCACTCAGGGCCCAGCAATTTAGGACAAATTTATAAAGGAAAGGCTTTCTTTCAAAGACCAAAGCCCCTTCTTCTGGGTAAGGAAGTTTCACTGGTTTTATAAAGGTTGTAAGTGCAATTTTCAAGCAATGTTGTAATATTATTGCTATACTGCTGCTCTCCTTTTAATGATGCCTGGTGAGTTAGGGAGAGGGACCGGAGATAACACAGGAACATTTTATTTCTCTCCTTTAAAGCCATTTCAAACAGTGTAATTTCTATCTCAGCATGTCAAGCAAGTGCACCATGCAATAGGTCTCTTTGAAAACTTATTTTAAAGAGAGTGGAAATTACTTTTCCTTCAGAAATCAGTAGGATGGGACTCATGGGCTAAAGATCTCTACACAGCTTTTCTTAACCAACACTGCAAGTGACTTTTGGGGGTTCTGAAGTCAGGTTCTCCAGGTCAGCGATGATCAGATCAGTCTGCTCTAAGCATTTGTGCTAGAAGTCACAGATTCTCATGCCAGGAGCCATGGACCAAGCAAATGGAAATGCTTTTGGGCAGTGGCTCAGGTTGCAGTGGAGAAATCTGCCGTTTTTTCTACCTGGAGTTCTCTGTTTCGGTCTGAAATAGAATCTCTGAAATAATTCCTTAAATAACCATATTTGTAGGGTAAGGTATAGTGGTGTGATCATGTCAGAGAACACCCAGCATCCTGGAATTTTAAGTCTTCAGTTCAATGAATTACTGCATGACCTTGCAGAGAGCCATTTATAGACCAACATTTTAAATCATAGAATCATAGAATGGCCTGGGTTGAAAAGGACCTTAAAGGTCATCTAGTTTCACCCCCCCTGCTCTGGGCAGGGTTGCCAACCACTAGAGCAGGCTGCCCAGAGCCGCATCCAGCCTGGCCTTGAATGCTTCCAGGGATGGGGCATCCACAACCTCTCTGGGCAACCTGTTCCAGTGCCTCACCACCCTCTGAGTGAAAAACTTTCTCCTAATTTCTAACCTAAATCTCCCCTGTCTTAGTTTAAAACCATTCCCCCTTGTCCTATCACTACCAACACATGTAAACACAGGCGCTTCCCCTCCTGTTTATACGCTCCCTTCAAGTACTGGAAGGCCGCAATGAGGTCTCCCTGGAGCCTTCTCTTCTCCAAGCTAAACAAACTCAGTTCCCTCAACCTTTCTGCATAGGAGAGGTGCTCCAGCCCTCTGATCACCTTTGTGGCCCTCCTCTGGACCCGTTCCAAGAGCTCCACATCCTTCTTGTGCTGGGGGCCCCAGGCCTGCACGCAGTATTCCAGGTGGGGTCTCACAAGAGCAGAGTAGAGGGAGACGATCACCTCCCTCTCCCTGCTGGCCACCCCTTTTTTAATGCAGCCCAGGACATAGTTGGCCTTCGGGGCTGCAAGCGCGCACTACTGGCTCATGTCCAGATTAATAAGGGTGCCCTGTGAGTAATCTGTTTTGCTGCCCATCTGTCCAGATTGAGTATTTCCAAAAATCAATATACTTTGAATTGATAATTCTCAGATGAGATACCTAAGTTTGAAAAATATGACCAGCTACTTATTAGTCAAAACCCAAGCCAAAAGCCCCTGTGACACTAGAAGTCAGTCAATAATATATATCTATCTCAGTCTCTACCATTAATTCAGCCAAGTAGATCCTATGCACTTACCTATTGGAACAATCCAATTTCAGGGTTGTGGCTGTAAGATCAATCTACCTTCTGATCTGTTCCCTTCATACATTTGGAAACATTTAAAGGAAAACACTCCTACCAATTTCTTTGTGAAATTTAGGCACCTATCATCTACCCATCAGAGAGTCAATCACCATAACGGACACAGGAGATTTTCAAAGCAGGCTGCAGCATATTTTATGGCACCTACACCTGTTTCTCCAACTCGACTTGAAATTTTCATTAAAAGAGAAATATTTTTGACTTATGCTATCCTGTCCCTCCACTTCAGGCAGTTCACAAATGCTATATTGGTGATGAAATATGTGGTTGGATTATATATGGAATAACTTGACATACGTAATTTTAACAGTACATTATTAACTGTAACTCAAGCACTTATCTGCCTTGCCATTCAGATGACATGGAGTTCATTTAGATTAGTCTAGCCACTGATTCACATT